GCCACGGCCTCCCAAAGTGCTGGGATTATAGGCGTGAGCCACCGCGCCCAGCCAATATTGTTAAGATGTTAATACTACTCAAAATATTCTATAGATTCAATGCAATCCCTATCTAAATCCCAACTTTTTTACAGAAATAGAAAAATCCACTGACAGTGAAGTGGAAATAGGCAAGCAAAAAGGAAAAGAAAAATCCACCCTAAGGCCAGGTGCAGTGACTTACGCCTGTAATTCTAGCACTTTGGGAGGCTGAGGTGGGTGGATCACCTGAGGTCAGTAGTTCAAGACCAGCCTGGCCATAATGGTGAAACCCCATCTTTAAAAATAAGAAAAAAAGGTCCAGGCACGGTGGCTCATGCCTGTAATCCCAGCACTTTGGGAGGCCAAGGCAGGTGGATCACAAGGTCAAAAGATAGAGACCATCCTGGTCAACATGGTGAAACCTCGTCTCTACTAAAAATACAAAAATACCAAAAAAATTAGCTGGGCATGGTGGCGTGTGCCTGTAATCCCAGCTACTCGGGAGGCTGAGGCAGGAGAATTGCCTGAACCCAGGAGGCGGAGGTTGCGGTGAGCCGAGATCGCGCCATTGCACTCCAGCCTGGATAACAAGAGCGAAACTCCGTCTCAAAAAAAAAAAAAGAAAAAGAAATCCACCCTAAAATTCATATGGAATTTCAAGAAATGAATAGCCAAAGCAACCTTCAAGAAGAGGACCAAGGTTGGACATTCCACATTTCCTGATTTCAAAACTTACTACAAAGCTACAGTAGTTAAACTTGTATGCTACTGGCATAAAGGCAGACTTACAGACCAATAGCAAAGAATAAAGAGCCCCAAAATAAGCCTTCACATACATGGTATAATAATTTTTGTCAAAACCATTCAATGGAGAAATGACAATCTTTTCAACAAATGGGGTTGGGAAAACTGGATATAAAATACCAAAGAATGGAGTTGGACCCTTACCTAACATCATATGTGAAAATTAACTCAAAACGAATCAAAGACCTAAATATAAGAGACAAAACTACAAAACTCTTAAAAGAAAACACAGGGCAAAAGCTTCATGACATAAGATTTGTCGATAATTTCTTGGATTATTGCACCAAAGGCACAGGTAACAAAAGAAAATATAGAAAAACGGGACGGCATGAAAGTTAAAAACTTTCGTGCATCAAAGAACACTATCAGCCAGACACAGTGGCTCACGCCTGTAATCCCAGCACTTTGGGAGGCCAAGACAGGCAGATCTTAAGGTCAGGAGTTCAAGACCAGTCTAGCCAATATAGTGAAACCCCATCTCTACTAAAAATACAAAAATTAGCCTGGTGTGATGGCACATGCCTGTAGTCCCAGATATTTGGGAGGCTGAGACAGGAGAATCATTTGAACCCAGAAGGCAGAGGTTGAAGTGAGCCAAGATTTTGCCACTGCACTCCAGCTTGGGCAACAGAGCGAGACTTCGTCTCAAAACAAACAAAAAAAGAAAAAAACAGCAACAACAAAACCAAAAACACTATTAACAGAGGGAAAGGGAAAATTATGGAATGAGAGAAAATAAAATATTTGCAAATCATATATTTTATAAGAATTTATAAATAACTCCTAAAACTCAACAAGAGAAATAAACTGATTCAAAAATGAGCGAAGAGCTGGGTGCGTGGTTTACGCCTGTAATCGCAGCACTTTGGGAGGCTGAGAGGGAAGGATCATTTGTGCCCAGAAGTTCAAGACCAGCCCTGGCAACACAGTGAGACCCCCATCGCTACAAAAAATTTAAAAGTTAGCCAGGCATGGTGTGCATGGCTATATTCCCAACTACTCGGGAGGCTGATGTGGGAGGACTGTGTGAGCCCAGGAGTTCAAGGCTGTGGTGAGCTATTATCATGCCACTGCACTCCAGCCTGGGTGGAAAAGCAAGACTCTGTCTCTTAAAAATAAAATTTTAAAAAGTGCAAAGAGCTTGAATGGACATTTATCCAAAGAAGATACACAAATGCCAATAAGCACATGAAAAGATGTTCAGTATCACTAATCATGAGGGAAATGTTAATCAAAACCACAATGAGGTACCACCCAACACCCATTAGGATGCTACTATCAAAACAAAAAGCAGAAAATAACACATATTGGCAAGGATGTGGGAAAATCGCAATTTCTGTGCAGCATTGGTGGGGTTGTAAATGGGTACAATTGCTGCGGAAAACAGTACAGGAGTTCCTCAAAAACTTAAAAATAGTATTACCATATGATCTAGCGATTCCACTTCTGGGTATGGAATTTGAAAGCAGGGTCTTAGATAAATTGCATACCCACATTCAAAGTATTATTCACAGTAGCTAAAACATGGAAGCAACCCAAGTGTCCACCCATGGATGAACGGATAAGCAAAACAGATATACTTACAATGGAATATCATTCAGTCTTAAAACGTTAGGAAATCCTGGCTGGGCACAGTGGCTCACGCCTGTAATCCCAGCACTTTGGGAGGCAGAGGCAGGTGGATCAGGAGGTCAAGAGATCAAGATCATCCTGGCCAACATGGTGAAACCCCATCTCTACTAAAAATACAAAAAATTAGGGGGTCATGGTGGCACACGCCTGTAGTCCAGCTACTTGGGTGGCTGAGGCAGGAGAATCCCTTGAATCTGGGAGGCGGAGGTTGCAGTGAGCTGATATCACACCACTACACTTTAGCCTCAGCGACAGGAGCAAGACTCCCTCTCAAAAAACAAAACAAAACAAAACAAAAAACAACTGCTGATAGAACAGATTCTTTTTTTTTTTTTTTTTTTGAGACAGAGTTTCGTTCTTGTTACCAGGCTGGAGTGCAATGGTGCGATCTCGGCTCACCACAACCTCCACCTCCTGGGTTCAGGCAATTCTCCTGCCTCAGCGTCCTGAGTAGCTGGGATTACAGGCACGCACCACCGTGCCCAGCTAATTTTTTGTATTTTTAGTAGAGACGGGGTTTCACCATGTTGACCAGGATGGTCTTGATTTCTTGACCTCGTGATCCACCTGCCTCAGCCTCCCAAAGTGCTGGGATTACAGGCGTGAGCCACCACGCCCAGCCTAGAACAGATTCTTTTAAGTCTGATAGAAGCATTTACAGTCTATTCTCTCAGAAGTTTGTTGCTACCTGAAGGCTTCATCTGCATGATAAAACTTTGGTCTGCCCATTTTATCATAACCCATTCATTCTTTTCTGTTGATTCCCAGTGTTTCAACCAATTGCCAATCAGAAAATCTTTGTATCCACCTATGACCTGGAAGCCACCCCCCCACCACCCATGGCTGCTTCCTGTTGTCCTATCTTTCCAGAACAAACAAATGTACACCTTACAGGTAGTGATTGATGTTTTATGTCTCCCTAAAATGTATAAAACCAAATTGCAGCCCGACCACGTTGGGCACATGTTCCAGGATCTCCTGAGGGCTGTGTCAGGGGCCATTGGTCACTCGTAGTTGAATCAAAGTAAATCTCTTCAACTATTTTACAGAGTTTGACTTTTTTTGTTAACAATTTGAACATGCTTTACGTGAAGTGACGGCATCTCTTTTACCTGATTGTATCATGGGAATGAACTTTGTATTTCATTGGAGAATGTTTCCCCTACCTGATACTTGAAAGCATGTAAATCTGCCCTTCAAGCAATGTTAATTGGACATGCTAAATGGGAACCAGTAAGACTGCCCAGGTCCACACAATGCAGAGTAGAAGCTAGAGTACTGGTAGGGTTAAATTCTCGACTTGATAACCCTCTGTGGAGCATTTCCTGGGGCTATGGCAAAAGCCTCTTAGCATCTCCCAGCAACAACCACTGGGACTTTGGACTAGAGAATTTTTGCTCGAGGGGCATTTACTGCCTTGCTGAAACTACCCCTATGACACCTGAGATATCCAAGCCGTCACAGGTGATGTCAGAGAAACATTCTAATGGGGGGCCGGGCGCGGTGGCTCACGCCTATAATCCCAGCACTTTGGGAGGCCAAGGCGGGTGGATCACGAGGTCAAGAGATCGAGACTATCCTGGTCAACGAGGTGAAACCCCATCTCTACTAAAAATACAAAAAGATTAGCTGGGCACGGTGGCGCATGCCTTTAGTCTCAGCTACTCGGGAGGCTGAGGCAGGAGAATTGCTTTAACCCAGAAGGCAGAGGTTGCGGTGAGCCGAGATCGTGCCATTGCACTCTAGTCTGGGTAACAACAGCGAAACTCCGTGCAAAAAAACAACAACAACAACATTCTAATGGGGATGAAGGTGCCCAGAAGAACTCTCTAATAAAATAGAAGTAGTTGATTAGTTGTTAGAGGATCATGCTGCCTGGGGATGCAAGGAGGAGACACTCTAGGGTAGAGAGTTTCTTTTCTCCTTAGGACTGACTCTGGAACTGTGTGAGAAACTGCTGGATTCATGGCTGGGCACAGTGGCTCATGCCTGTAATCCCAGCACTTTGGGAGGCTGAGGCAGGTGGATCACCTAAGGTCAGGAATTCAAGACCAGCCTGGCCACCTTGGTGAAACCCTGTCTCTACTAGAAGTACAAAAATTAGCCAGGTGTGGTGGTGTAATCCCAACTACTTGGGAGGCTGAGACAGGAGAATCACTTGAACCTGGGAGGCAGAGGTTTCGATGAGCCAAGATCTTGCCATTGCACTCCATCCTGGGCAACAAGAGTAAAAATCCATCTCAAAAAAAAAAAAAAAAAAAGAAAGAAATTTCTGGATTCTACAGTGCCCAAAAACAGCTCTCTACTGACCAGCCAAAAGCTACTTGGTTAATGGACAGCAATTCCAAACCAAATGGAACAGCCATCCTGTTTGGAGGGCTGCTACTTTGATCAAAGAAGGTAAAAATGGATCAAAAACAGATCTGCTTGATGGGTGAATTGCATGGTGATTTTCTTTATATATATATAGATATATATTTTTAAGAGTACAGTATTTTTTATTCACTGATAAACTAAAAGCCAATTTCTTGGTATTTCTTATTGTTTGGAAAACTCTGCCCCTACCGTGAAAGCTCTCTTTCCCTCCCCCATGAAGAGGCTCCCTTATCTCTCACTCTACATGTTTGGAAAACTCTGCCCCTACCGCAAAATCTCTCTCTCTTTCCCTCCCCCACAAAGAGGCTCCCTTATCTCTCACTTTACATACCGGCCCTAGCCCTCCCGCCGCCCAGCTTCCCGCCCAGCAGTTCAAACTGACCAACAGTTGCCCACCACCTCGGCTTTTGGCTTCCCCACCCCCCAGCCCTTCAGCCCCCTATAAAACAACCCTGCCCCTCTGAGCGGCGCGGCCATTTTTCCTTTTCGTCCCGGCTGGTCCGCCCGGAGGCTCTTTCCTCTCAATAAAGCCTGAACTTAAGGAATTTCCTCTAGCCTGCGGTCCGGTTTCTTTCCCAATGAGCTCAGTCTTCCCGCAGAGGGTAGGTCGGACACTTATGTTTACTTCATTTATTTTATTAATAAGCAAAGCCCTGTAAGGGAAGCCTTTGCCTAGTCCTCCAACTCTGACTCATCTTCATCTTGACTAATCTGGAAGTAATGAAGTTCATATGTCTCCTTGTCAGATGCAACCACTCAAAGCCAATCATGAAGATTGTTCTTCTTTTTTTATTATTTTTTATTTTTATTTATTTATTTATTTTTAAGACAGGGTTTCACCATGTTGGTCAGGCTGGTCTTGAACTCCGACCTCAGGTGATCCACCCGCCTTGGCCTCCAAAGTGCTTGGATTACAGGCATGAGCCAGCATGCCCGGCCGAAGATTGTTCTTCTTAAGGTATTTCTTTGTAAGGTATTTCAATAGAGAACTGTTTCTCAGAAACAACAGTGATTTTATTCTTGAAGCATTCAATGTGAACAACATTCCCAAGATTTCCAGTTTTGCCATTAACTTTAACCTTCTCCCATAGAAACTGCTCAAAATTTCCAGAATCAAAAATTCCATCTTCTACTGGATGAGTAAGATCCAAATTAAACTTCCAGGTGGACTTCTTGGGTTTCTTGTCTTTCTGAGGCACCATGTTGTAAGTTGGCTGCACGAGCACCAATATATTTTTTTTTTATTGTACTTTAGATTCTGGGGTACATGTGCAGATCATGCAGAATTGTTGCATAGGTACATACATGGCAATGTGGTTTGCTGCGTCCATCTCCCTGTTACCTATATCTGGCGTTTCTCCCCATGTTATCCCTCCGCAACCTCCCTACCTTCTGCTGTCCCTCCCCTAGTCCCCACCAATCAACCCCAGTGTGTGATGCTCCCCTCTCTATGTTTATGTGTTCTCATTGTTCAACACTCACTATGAGTGAGAACATGCTGTGTTTGATTTTCTGTTCTTTGTGTCAGTTTGCTGAGAATGATGGTTTCCAAATTCATCCATGTCCCTACAAAGGACACAAACTCATCGTTTTTTATAGCTGCATAGTATTCCATGGTGTATATGTGCCAGATTTTCCTTGTCCAGTCTATCATTGATGGGCATTTGGGTTGGTTCCAGATCTTTGCTATTGTTAACAGTGCCACAATGAACATAAATGTGCATGTGTCTTTATAATAGAATGATTTATAATCCTTTGGATATATATACACAGTAATGGGATTGCTGGGTCAAATGGAATTTCTATTTCTAGGTCCTTGAGGAATTGCCACACTGTCTTTCACAATGGTTGAACTAATTTACACTCCCACCAATCGTGTAAAAGTGTTCCTATTTCTCCACATCCTCTCCAGAATCTGCTGTCTCCAGATTTCTTAATGATCGCCATTCTAACTGGTGTGAGATGGTATCTCAATGTGGTTTTGATTTGTATTTCTCTAATGACCAGTGATGATGAGCATTTTTTCATATGGTTGTTGGCCTCATGTATGTCTTCTTTGGAAAAGTCCTTTGCCCACTTTTGAATGGGTTTGTTTGTTTTTTTCTTGTAAATCTGTTTTAGTTCTTTTTTTTTTTTTTGAGACGGAGTTTTGCTCTTGTTACCCAGGCTGAAGTGCAATGGTGTGATCTTGGCTCACTGCAACCTCCACCTCCTGGGTTCAGGCAATTCTCCTGCCTCAGCCTCAGCTGGGATTACAGGCACGTGCCACCATGCCCAGCTAATTTTTTGTATTTTTAGTAGAGATGGGTTTCACCATGTTGACCAGGATGGTCTCGATCTCTTGACCTTGTGATCCACCCGCCTCGGCCTCCCAACGTGCTGGGATTACAGGCTTGAGCCACTGCGCCCAGCCAAATCTGTTTTAGTTCTTTGTAGATTCTGGATATTAGCCCTTTGTTAGATGGGTAGATTGCAAAAATTGTTTCCCATTCTATTGGTTGCTGGTTCATGCTAATGATTGTTTCTTTTGCTGTCCAGAAGCTCTGGTGTTTAATTAGATCCCATTTGTCTATTTTGGCTTTTGCTGCCAATGCTTTTTTTTTTTTTTTTTTTTTTTGAGACAGAGTTTCACTCTTGTTACCCAGGCTGGAGTGCAATGGCGCAATCTCGGTTTACTGCAACCTCCGCCTCCTAGGTTCAGGCAATTCTCCTCCCTCAGCCTCCTGAGAAGCTGGGACTACAGGCACGTGCTACCATGCCCAGCTAATTTTTTATGTTTTTAGTAGAGACAGGGTTTCACCATGTTGACCAGGATGGTCTCGGTCTCTTGACTTCGTGTTCCACCCGCCTCAGCCTCCCAAAGTGCTGGGATTACAGGCATGAGCCACCATGCCTGGCTTTGCATCATCTTAAGGGCCAGTTGGTTCAGACAGTGCAAAGACTGCTTTGCTTCCCTGTGGCCTGATAGAAAAGAATACCTTTCAAGAATGTTCCTCCTACCTTTGAAGAATCAAACCCTCAATATGACAGCACTCAGGCCCAGCATGGAGTAGATGCCTCCTGTAGATGGTGGCATCTCACAGTGCAAGGGCTGGTGAGGCCAGCTCTACTCAAGGAGCTGAGAAAACCACCTTCTGAACCCTCCCCTACAATGCTCCTGGCCCTCCCAGGGAAAAAAGAGAACGGACTTTCTCTGTGGGCCCCATCAGACCTACCCAGGGAACTTAGAGATTGTGGAGCTTGCTTATTGATCCTCTTGTCCAGTGCTGCCCATACGGAGTCCAAGGACCGTCAGCATCAGCCTCCCCTGAGAACTAGTTAGAAATGCAGATTCTTGGGCCCTACCCCAGAATAGTGAATCAGAATCTCTGGGAGTGGGGCCCAGCAATCTGTGTTTTGGGGTTTTGTTTTTAAGAACCAAGGTTTTCTCTCTGTCACCCAGCCTGGAGTGCAGTAGCATGATCATAGTTCACTTTAACCTCAAACTCCTGAGCTCAAGCAAGACCCCCTCCCGCCTCAGACTCCCAAAATGCTGGGATTACAGGCATGAGCCACCTCCCCCAGCCCCAACCATTTGAACAGGCCCTATGAGTGACTTCGATGCACTCGGGCGTTTCAGCAACACCTGTTATCTCCAACTTCCTCATTTCAGGAATGGAGAAATTGAGACTAGACACGGGAAGTAACTTGTCACTCAGCCAGGCAATGGCAGAGATCACACAGAAACTCAGCTTCCCAGGCCAGCTGGTGGTGGCTCATGCCTGTAATCCTAGCACTTTGGGAGGTCGAGGCGGGCAGATCACCTGAGGTTGGGAGTTCGAGACCAGCCTAACAAACATGAAGAAACCCTGTCTCTACTAAAAATATAAAATTAGCCAGGTGTGGTGGCACATGCCTCTAATCCCAGCTACTCAGGAGCCTGAGGCAGGAGAATCACTTGAACCCAGGAGGAGGAGGTTTCGGTGAGCCGAGATCACGCCATTGCACTCCAGCCTGGGCAACAAGAGCAAAACTCCATCTCAAAAAAAAAAAAAGCCCAGTGTTCCCAGTGTTCCTTCCACTTGAACTTTCTGTAGCTTGCTTGCTTTCTCTTTCTTTCTTTCTTTCTTTCTTTCTTTCTTTCTTTCTTTCTTTCTTTCTTTCTTTCTGTCTTTTCTTTCTTTCTTTCTTTCTTTCTTTCTTCATTCATTCCTTCACTCATTCATGCCTTCGGTCTCCAATTATATGCTTTGGGCTGCAATGGAGAGCCAGGCGTTTGGGGACAGCATCACCCTTCTTCCCAATGTGGGGCTTTCTCAAAGCCAGAGGTCTAGGATTCCGGATTGTGGAAGCATCTGCTAGGTCTTTTCCAGCTCACCCCTGGGTCTCCAGTTCCAGCCCAAATAGGAGTGTGATGTGGGCTGCAGGTGGCCCCTACTCCCCAGCTCCTTCCTGTCTTCTCCTGTTTCTTGGCACCTGGGGCTCTCTGTCCCATTCCTCACTGCCCATGTCTTGCTCTTGGGACAGGTGCAAGGGCCGGAGGCTGTCACTGTTCCATTTCCCAAAGGGACTAATGATCAAATTAAAGGCCCTTCCCAGCAATGGCTTTGCACTGAAGGAGCCAGGCAAGGTCCAGACCAGGGTTCACAGGTTAACACTTTGGGCTGGCTCATTCCTTGCTGTAGGGCGAGCTGTCCTGAGCATTGCGGGATGGTTAGCAGCAGTCCTGGCCTCTACCCAGCAGATGTCAGTAGAATTCCCCCACCAGGTTGTGACAACCGAAAATATCTCCAGATATGCCAAGTGCCCCCACTGGGTGGTGTTGCCAGATAAGACACAGAATGCCTGGTTACATTCCTTTGTTTAGAGACAGAGCCTCACTCTGGAGCCCAAGCTGGAATGCAATGAGGCAATCTCAGCTCACTGCAACCTCCGCCTCCGAGGCTCAAGCAATTCTTGTGCCTCAACCTCCTGAGTAGCTGGGATTACAAGTACGTGGCACCACACCTGGCTAATTTTTCGTATTTTAGTAGAGACGAAGTTTCACCATGTTGCCCAGGATGGTCTTGAACTCCACCTGCCTTGGCCTCCCAGAGTGCTGGGATCACAGGTATGAGCCACCACGCCCAGCCAAGCAATCTAATCGCAGATAAGCAACAAGTAATTTTTTTTTGAGATGGTGTTTTGCTCTGTTGCCCAGGCTGAAGTCCAATGATGCGATCTTGGCTCACTGCAACCACTGCCTCCCAGGTTCAAGCAATTCTCTTGCCTCAGCCTCCTGAGCAGCAGGGATTACAGGTATGTGCCACTACACCCAGCTGAGTTTTGTATTTCTAGTAGAGATGGGGTTTCAACCATGTTGACCAGGATGGTCTCAATCTCCTGACCTCATGATCCACCCATCTTGGTCTCCCAAAGTACTGGGATTACAGGCATGAGCCACAGCGCCCGGCCACAACAAGTAATTTTGGGTGCCTGAAATGTCTCAACTATTGTTGTGCTTCTTTTACATATATACATATATATATATTCTTTCTTTCTTTCTTTTTTTGAGACAGAATCTCACCCTGTCACCAGCCTGGAGTGCAATGGCACAATCTCAGCTCACTACAACCTCTACCTCCCAGGTTCAAGCGATTGTTCTGCCTCAGCCTCCCTAGTAGCTGGGATTACAGGTGCCTGCCACCACGCCCAGCTATTTTTTGTATCTTTAGTATAGACAGGGTTTCACCATGTTGGTCAGGCTGATCTTGAACTACTGACCTCATGATCCACTCGCCTCGGTCTTCCAAAGTGCTGGGATTACAGGCGAGAGCCATTGCGTCTGGCCCGTTGTCTTATATTTTCTACCTGAAGAATCTTGCAAATCTACCTCAGGGGTGAAATCTTTCTCCACTGGTCCAGATCAGGGTTTGGGGTGTGGGGAGCAGTTAGTGAGAAGATCTGATTAGATAATCATAGGCCATGAGCTTACAAGGGCAAAACCTTTGCCGTGATCATCTCTGTATCCCTAGAATATAACGGAGTCTCATTAAATATTTGACCTGATAGTAGGTGAGAGGACACTTGGAACTGTGTCAGAGACCGCACCTGAGTATTTACATCCAGCCCCGGACTGGACATTAGAGACACACTCCCTAATAAATGTAAACTGAAGATAATCTTTTGTTTTACTCACATAGCATTTTTTAAAAGATGTGACTTTGGGCTTTATATTCTAAAATTGGTAACTGGCTGAGGATGGTGGCTCACACCTATAAATCCCAACACTTTGGGAGGCTGAGGCAGGAGGATTGCTTGAGCCCAGGGGTTCAAGACCAGCCTAGGCAGCATAGTGAGACTCCCCATCTATTCAAAAAATTAAAATTAAAAAATGAGCCAAATGTGGTGGCACATGCCTGTACTGCCAGCTACTTGAAAGGCTGAGATGGGAGGATCACTGGAACCCAGGAATCTGAAGCTGCAGTGAACTATGATAGTGCCACTGCACTCCAGCCTGGGAGACAGAACGAGACCCTATCTCAAAAAAATATAAAATAAATAGGAAGTGGCCCGGCTTGGTGGCTCACGCCTGTAATCTTAGCACTTTGGAAGTCTAAGGCGGCCTGACCTCACTTGAGGTCAGGGGTTCAAGACCAGCCTGGCCAATATGGTGAAACCCCGTCTCTACTAAAACTATAAAAATTAGCTTGGCATGATTGCATGCTCCTGTAGTCCCAGCTACTCAGGAGGCTGAGGTAGAATTGCTTGAACCCAGCAGGTGGAGATCCCAGTGAGCCAAGATCATGCCATTGCACTCCAGCCTGGGCAGTAGAGTAAGACTCCATCTCAAAAACAAAAACAAAAACAAAAAACACACAGGAAGCTATCACCTAAGTCAAGATTTCTAGTATCTCTTGGAAAATACAGCACAACTTCCAAATGCGTGGAACATCTGGCAGTTCATCTGTACTCCCAATCAGAAAAGCTTGGCTGGAACTAAGAGGTACCTGCCCCTCTCCACTGGCCCAGATCAGGGTCTGGGGTATGGGGCAGGTACCTCTCAGCTGGGCCGGTGGAGAGGGTCAGGCACCTCTCAGCTCCAGCCAAGCTTTTAACTTGAGTCCTGTGTTCCCCCTATTACCCACAGTCCCTGCCACTCCCAATTGCCCCACACCAGTACCCATCACCCATTATGTTAATCTGCCTGTAGACATTTGCATTTTTTTTTTTTTTTTTTTTTTTAGACGGAGTTTCGCTGTTGTTACCCAGACTGGAGTGCAATGGCACGATGTTGGCTCACCACAATCTCCGCCCTCTGGGTTCAAGCAATTCTGCTGCCTCAGCCTCCCGAGTAGCTGGGACTACAGGCGCGAGCTACCATGCCCAGCTAATTTTTGTATTTTTAGTAGAGACGGGATTTCACCTTATTGACCAGGATGGTCTTGATCTCTTGACCTCGTGATCCACCCGCCTTGGCCTCCCAAAGTGCTGGGATTATAGGCGTGAGCCTCCGCGCCCAGCCGACATTTGCATTTCAAAGCTCTGGTCTAGTGGTAAAGAGGCATTGGAATGACACGTCCTTTAGATGATCTAGTGTAAGGCGAGTGCATTATCCTCATTTTACCGATAAAGAAATTTGCCTTTAGGGAAGTTAAGTGAATCAACATCATAACAAGGCAGGATTAGAACCCAAGTCCCTTGACTCCAGGCTCTAGGCCCATGCCCCACCCTGGACAGAGTTCGTTGTGAGAAAGAACCCAACCGCAGGGGCAAAAGCATTGTCACACCGGGGACCTGGAGGGGAAGTGGTAACAGGCACGGAAGGCCAGACCTCCTCACACTCACTCATCTGTGAAAAAGTACAAAAGCAAGAGAAAGCTGGCTGTGGGGTGGCAGCTCAACAGGTGCTCTGAGTGGCACCCAGGGTCGGGTCCTGGGAGAGGACAGAAAGCAACTGGGACCCCTCTACCCCCGGCAGCTCCCGGTGCCCAGCCACCCACAACTGTGAGTAGCTTTTTATGTTGTTTATTTTAGGCATCTTCCTCATTCCAGAAAACCTGTATTCTTTTTTGTCTGTTTTTGAGACAGACTTTTGCTCTGTTGCCCAGGCTGGAATACAGTGGGGCAGTCTCAGCTCAGTGCAACCGCCACCTCATAGGTTCAAGCAATTCTCCTGCCTCAGCCTCTGGTGTAGCTGGGATTACAGGCATGCGTACCACACTCAGCTAATTTTTGTATTTTTAGTAGAGATGGGTTTCATCATGTTGGCCAGGCTGGTCTCAAACTCCCAACCTCAGGTGATCTGTCCACCTTAGCCTCCCAAAGTGCTGGGATTACAGGGGTGAGCCACCGAGCCCAGCCAAACAGTATTCTTACCTTATCCCTTCCCTGCAGGGACACAAGAAGCCAGGTGGGCCTGTCTGGGGCAGGGGATAGATGTCATTTCAGGACACCTGGGGTTTTGGAGGACCAGTCACAGGAATGCTCAGGGCTGATATCCTCCTCCTAGGACCAGGAATCGGGACTTTGGCTTTCATTTCATTACAGAGACAAGAATCACACACACACACAGATGGCCTTGCTGTGTGCCAGGCACTGCCCTAAGAGCCTTTGGTGGTTTGATTTATTTAATCCTCACAACAGCTGAATGCAGTAGGCGCTGTCACTGTTGCCCACTTGATAGATGTGGCTAGTCACGCGGGCATTGAATGAGAGCACTGGCTTGAGCCTAGGCACTCTGGCTTCACAACCCACCCTTCATCCCCCAGGCTATCCTGCCTTACTGCGGACTGCAACAGTAGATGGGGCCAGGAAAGGGCAGGGGCTGACAGAGGCCTCTGAGATGACCAGGTGAGTCCCGTGCTCTCATTTTATAGATGGGAAACCACAAGGTAGTGTTAGGGGTACATTGGACTCAGGAGACCAGGGGTCTGCCTTGGGGTAAGTTCCACCCAGCGGACGGAAGAGCAGTCTTTTCCAGTGCGCCCTGGGGTCAGCATCTAGGTCTGAATCCCAGCTCTGCCACTGGTATCTCGATGGCCTCAGGCAATTCATTCCATTTCCTTCCCGCTCAGCTTCCTCTTCTGAAGAAATATGGGCCCCAGCAGGTCACTCACAGGCTTGTTGTGAGGGTCAGCTCTCTGACGCAGGCACAGGGAGGGCAGTGGCACAGGGCTTGGGAATGGCCGTGGTGGAGAGTTTGATTTTCACCACATCTGCCCTTGACGTGGATTTGAGATGTGGATAAATGAGACCTGGCTGCTTTTCCCTGGAATGAGTGGCAAACAGACATCTTGGCGGCATGAAAGCCAGGACGAAGGCTGGGGAGCAGTTCAGAGAGACCTCAGGAGGTGGAGTCCCAGCAACCCCGGCCGCAGTTCTGCAACCACCTTGTGGCGCACCAGAATGACCCCCTAAACGGCCCTGGGCAGGTGAAGTGCATCCTTTACCCTTTGGCCAGCTAAGGCCAGGCTAAGGCAATGAAGACGGGAAAATGGCAGCCTGGCTCAGCCAAGCAGAGACCTCCAGCGCCAGCCCCTTCTCTTCCCTCCTCATTTTACAGTAGCAGTCGCTTTTTTTTTTTTTTGAGATGGAGTCTCATACTGGTGCCTGGGCTGGAGTGCAATGGTGCGTTCTCTGCTCACTGCAACCTCCGCCTCCTGGGTTCAATGATTCTCCTGCCTCAGCCTCCCAAGTAGCTGGGATTACAGGTGCCCACCACCATACACAGCTAATGTTTTTGTATTTTTAGTAGAGACGGGGTTTCACTATATTGGCCAGGCTGGTCTCGAACTCCTGACCTCGTGAACCACCTGCCTCAGCCTCCCAAAGTGCTGAGATTACAGGCATAAGCCACCATGCCCAGCCACTGGTCACTCCTACTGCACACACTCAGATGTGCATAAAATATTCTTTCCCTTATTCAGATTAAATCACATTCAATAGGACTCAGAGCCTCATCCTATTGGGCTAGGAGGAGTGGAGTCTCCAAGTGCACTGAGCTTCCCTCACTCCCACCCCCACCTCTCAGCATCACACATTGACCCAGAGGGTCACAGACAGAGCATAAGCGTGAGGGAGGCTCCTGGGTCTTCTTATGATGGATGCCCATTGCCCAAATCGGCTTGATCACCTGAAGTCCAGCCTTGCCCACTTCCCTGGCATTCTTGGAGTCCAGATTCTTTGCAAGACCTGAAACAACTGTGTCTCATTTTGACCTCCCAGTGACTTCCCCGAGAGGTCCTGCTATCTCCCCGGAAAGCCAAGCCCATGACCTCTGGTCCCCTCTCCATCAGGGACAATCTCTCCTCTCCCCTTGGCTATGGATGGCAGATGGATACTCTTCTTTCCCCACCCTCCATCTACCTGGCCTAACCTTCTCACTGCACTCAGGTTCTCAGTTCTCAGGAAAGGACAGGAAGAAGGGTTGTCTTCGTATAGCTTCTGCTTTCTACTCTCACCCCTGCAAAAAGTCCCTGAGCCAAGAGAAGCAAAGGGTACTCTTTGAAAAGAGACAGGCAGCCCTATCTTACAGACAAGAAAAACCAAGGCTCAGCAGTGTCACACAGCCAAGGAACAGTGGAGCCCATGTGAGCAGAGTCCCGCGCTCTGGGCTCAGAGCTTGTGCTATCAGTCACAGAATCATGTGGAAACCCAAGTCTCCCTCATCAATTACTCAGGTGACCTGGGGCAAGTCACATCACCTTTCTGAACCTCAGTTTCTTCCACCCGAAAAATGACACTATCATAGCATTCCCAACCTGCCTCAAAGGAGCTCTCTTTTTTTTCTTAAGCAAACATTGATGAAACATTTGCTATGCATTTGAGCTCTGTGACCTTTCCTCATTCGCTCCTCACCACAGCTTAAGAGGGAGCTGCTATCACTAACCATGTTTGCAAGGTGAGAAACTAAGCTCACACAAGCTTAAGACTCATCCAGGGGGCTGGGCATGGTGGTTCACACCTCTAATCCCAGCACTTTGGAAAGCCCAGGCAGGAGAATAGCTTGAGCTCAGCAATTCAAAACCAGTCTGGGAAACATAGTGAGACCCTGTCTCTACAAAACAAAAAATTAAAGATTAGCCAGGCCTGGTGGCACATGCCTGTGGTCCCAGCTACTCAGGAGGCTGAGGTGGAAGGATTGTGTAAGCCTGGGAGATTGAGGCTGCAGTGAGCTGTTGCCTGGGCAACTAAGCAAGATCCTGTCTCAAAAAAAAAGACAACAAAAGAGAAGCTTGTCCACAGTCACACAACTGGTGGTAATGGCAAAGCTGAGACTCAAGTCCAGGACAGTCTGGATCCAGAACCAAGCCACGTCGTGGTGGGAATCAAGTCGGAGAACAGGAGTGGAAACGCCTCTGGGTGCAGAGATTCAGTGCAGGCTCAGGAGCCATCACCAGGGCTGTCTTTATTGTGTTGCTTGCAAGGTTGTGGTTCAGATGCCATCACATGGACAACCTGAGAACCTATGCTGGGGAGGATATTGGGGGGATATCATATGAATATGGCTGGCTTCTCTCCCCCCACCCCAAACTGAGCAGTCCACTCCAGTCCTGCGAGGTGTCCATTCTGTGCCAAGACTCTGAGGCTCTAGCCCTTGGCCCAGGTGACTTCCTGTTTTCATGATGATCTCTGACAAACCTTCTCTGCCTGTGCTTAGGGCTGTCACTGGTGTTATTTTATGTAATCCTCACCTCAGTCCTGTAAAGGCACTTCTCTTTCTCTCCCCAAGCTATAAACGAGGACACTGAAGTCTCGGGAGAGGGCAAAGTGGGAACCCACGCACAGCCAAGACTCTCAGGCCCCAGCTATGCTGCAGGGACCACCAGAATAGTAAGATCAGGTCTCAGCCCTCTTCCAGCAGAGCCCAGAACAGTGTAAACTGCTCCCTTTAT